ACGAATCGCTTGCAAAAGACTTATCGACGGCGCGAAACCCCAGTAAGGGTCAAACCAAACCGAAAGCAAACTTACGCGAAGGAAAAACCGACGGACTGGTAAATAAACCGAATCAACGGGGCTTAGCAGCCCTGCAGTGCCCCAATAAAATCAGCCCGCTAAATCAAGTCCGGGCAAGAAACCCGGTCCGTCACCAAATCGAGGGCGTGACCGATCCCAGTAGAAACCACCTTCGGACTTTGCGGCACCAGCTATACAGGAATTGCAGAAGCAGACTGTAATAACAGAGGACACGGAGACGGCAAAGAAGCTGAAGGGAAAGGCCAAAGTACCGGACCCGGCACGGGAAAACGGACGGAAACGAAACCCGAAGCTATACCGAGGCAGACGAAGGAAAAAAATCGGTGAAGAAGCGGGAAAATAAACAACTTCAAACACCGGTCCCGGGACAACCAACCACCAGCAGTCCGGTCGATCCACCGGTCCCGAATCAGAAGCGTGAAACGGCAGTGAGGCATAAGCTAAAGGCTGAAGAAGTACTAGAAGAGGCTGAGGTAGTGGTTGAAGAAGCTCATATAGATATCCTGAGCAGTTATAAGAGATGATTCTAACCGAACAATGCCAAAATAACTATATCAACTGCACCACGCCCAATTGGATCATAGGTAGCTTATACTAAGGAACCGATTTCTCATAGCTCATAGAAGTTAACGGTCGGACCCAGGGCGGTCATCCATGATCCCGCTACAGAGCTTACAACCCGCATTATGCTTTATGTAATCGAAATATTGGTGAATGTGAGCGCGGATATCAGGCAAAATGCCCCGGCTACCAGTTCACCTGTACGGTCAGATCTTCCCGCCACGTTTACCGGTGCCCAAAGAAGTCCCGCCTTTTTCGCAACCGGACCGGTCTCGGCGCAGCAGATGTCATTTGCCTCGACGAACAAATAAGTTGACAGTTTGCCAAGTCGTTAACTCCAAACATCTACTTACTACAAGGGCTGACGTACCCCAACTACAGTTACTCAGTATCACCCTTCCCGGTGTCATATGGAAAACGTGATGTGATCATCTTTTGATCACACGCCGCACGATGTAAGCGGACTTAGCATATAGATCTATGACCGACACTTATGCGACCCGGAATACCCGCTAGGTATTCACGTCTACTTCCATCTATCTCTACCTATATACGCTCTGCATTGTTGTACCATCTACACTGTACCAAGTCATCTACATGTCATTTACGTAGAGATCTCTAGTCATTTGTATGCATGCTAGCATTGTACCATCCGCGTACAGTCATCATGTACCATCAATAAAGATACAGCACGGTCAGTCTATCTCTTCTCTTATATTAATAAAACCCACTATTACACCGGACACGGCCACGACCAAAACGCGGTATCCACAAGGCCCTCGCTTTTGTGGCAAATCACAGTCATCGGGCAGTCGGAATGAAATAAGCCCTAAATCTGACCCCAAAATGGACATGTTCCACCGGCTACCGGTAAACCGACATGACGACATCCCCAACAGGGTTGAGGGGCGTAGACAAAACTCCATTAGACTCGTTATGCTGCAGACCGCGGTCCCTAAACACGTTCTGGTACCGGTCGGGCCCTCAATCAGGGAAACGGCGGTAGAAATCCATCGCAAACCGTAACCACGAACTCCCACATGAACCGACTGGATTCCCTGGATTGGACCCAACCGGAACTGCTAGAAGTCTCCAGGACAAACCAGCCGAAACCCCTGTGTTCTTCAGTCACCCAAACGTTTTGCTCCCAAATCTTAGAAGCGCCCGGAGCGGTTCCCAAAAGAAGCTTGAACCTGGCCAGAAGGCAAAAAGCCGGTCTCCACCTTCCAATTACCCAGAACGTAAGTCCCGGACACATCGAAAATCTTGCATTCCGCTTCCTGGTTAGGCGGCCGGACGATTTAGAGAGTAGACATACGGATTTTTACGAGCGCAGACCGCCCTCCCTGGTTCCGTTACTGCAACTGAAGCCACCCAGATCGACCACCCCGGAACTGCCGGATCAACATTCCGCAGTCCGGCATCAACCGGTCCATGTGGCCCACAAATTGCAGACCACGAATGACGACGTCCTGTATCTGGGGAATTCTTTACGGGTAAATCTTCGAAACATCTGAACGGGCGTCGAAACCAGTATGATGCGTATTACGCCAATAACCAGACTCACTGGATGTCACAGACCGCTGCCATTTATCTGACGACACGACCAAATAATTCAAGGAAAGACCAGCTGCCAGTCGACTCACTCGCAGCAGGAAACCCAGCTGACCGGACTCAACCGGAGAAGCCCGGTTGAACCGGGATTAACCCGGACATTTCATTCTCCGGACCCAACTTATCCGACGGTAACCCAGTCCCAGTAACTCAATAAATGCCTGGAGACAAAATGAACGGTTTCCGGCCGGATAGAACACCAGAAATTTAGCTAAGCAGACCGTTCAACGGCGTCTTGCTACCGGAGGAATTACAAGTAGAGTTACAGTTACTCAGTCAACTAACCTTGATAATTTAGCTAGCCGTACTTCACCGAAGCAACCAGGTCAAATAGCCCTCAGACCCGACTTGTCCACTACAAACCTGAGCTAGCTTTATAATTAAACGACCGGAAGGCAAACTCGTGAGTTTTACTCCCAATGAAAAGCACGAACCAATGAAAAGTAGATCCAGCAGACCGGTTTAAAGCGCTCGAAAGGATTATTCGGAGCTAACCAAATCGACCATCACGAAGTTACCCGAATCAACCCTTAGCAGCGTGAGAACCACCGGTACCTATTACCTACTTAGGCGACGTGACACGAATTGACAGTTTCTGTACGGGCGAAAATCCAGATTGTGAGCAAATCGGCCCGCAACGCTTAGTAACCGAGCTTACCTGGATAAACCCGGATGAACCTAACGAACTGATTTGTTTATCAACCTATTGCCCTGATCTATCTACTCCGCTATCCAATCAGGAAGATACGATTTGCTTGGATAGAAATCCCGGGAACACGAATGACTTCCTGACTCACTTCGCTTATCCACGTTCTGCTACTACAGCTTGGGCCTAACCCGGCCAAGCAACTCGAGAGTGGGACTTACCCTTCACGAACCCGATTCCGTTACCCAAGTAGCTGACTGAAGAAAGAATTTTCGGTTTTGCCCGGACGGAATCTCGAAAAATTGTACTTTACCGGGCCTACCTGGAAGGATCGACCACGAACCCAAATATCGCGTTCAGGATGAATTTCCTGCACCAACAACCGGAAAAACCCGGTAGGGTAACCCAATCAACCCGGCAATAACCGGTCCCTACGGGCTACGGCCAAAACTGACGGCGGGACGCGAATTGTCCGGATGCATCCACCGGACTGGGTATTGTTACCAGACTGATCGGTCAACTCGGGTAACCCAATAGGCCCTATTCCCCACCCAGAGAAAAGAAAGGCTGGGTATGGGAGCACGCCACAGTTTAGCCTTAAATTGTAAAGAGTTCGGGAATTGCTTAGTTGGACAGTTTTTGTTAAGTCCAAACATCGCCATGGTGCCGAATCACCCATATTTTAGTTGTTGCTGCCCGAATGATAATGTCCCATTTCTCCTACTGCCTCCCACTCCCCAACAAAGCACTCAAATAAGCGACAACGTGCTAAACGAACGTAACCCATCCTGCGGCAACTAGCTACGTGACGTTTTAGCGCCCATACAGCGGCACAATATAAAAACGCTATGCAACGCGTACTGTGGCATAATAGCAGAAGGCTATTTAAACTCAGTGTGGGGCAAAATAGCAAAAGGCTATTTTGCCCCACATACTGGGGCAAAATAGCCAAAAGCTATTTTGCCACAAACACTGGGGTAAAATAGCCACTTCGATTAATTATACTAGACAATTCAGGTTGTTTTATATGCAGCCTGGAGCCTACAACAGGCATAGAAGTATGCCTGCTGTGGGCTGTACTTACGTTTTAATTTAGACTGATTTCTCAGTCTAAAATCTAAATAAACGCACGTCTAGCTTGTGCAAATTGCAGCCGCCACGACGAAAGCCCCAGAGGCGTGGTGAACCGACCAACTGGGCGGTCGTCTTATCCGCAAAGGCTGGCCGCAGACGGCCCACCACCGACCCTTCAGCGCATTACGCGGCTGGATGAAGATAAGTCAATTAATTCGGGCACGAAATTACTTACAAGTTACAGTCTAAGTCGGGAAATTACTTCTTTGCAGTATTACTCGTACAAAGTATTTGTTTACTTAATGGCCTGCAAGGCTGTACTTCGCAGCGTCTTCCACTCGTGCCGAAGTACGCACATAGCAGCAGCGCTAGATGAGCGGAACAAGGCCGAGGAATACCGCCGCATTACGTCCAGGATGATCGGTCGTCCTCACTGGCTGGGAGAGTTGTGGATCATGCGGACCCGATGGACCGGGCTGCTAGGTGTCCGCGCCAAGATGATCCCGCCGTAAACAGGCACAAAGCTAGCATCAGCGTTTTTGGCGCTTCGATCATCTGCAGATGGTCCTTTCCGTCAAGTTGAAGCACTACTGGAAATCAGTTTCCACTAATTAATTAAAATTAATTTAATGTCAAGAATTCCCGGTTAATTTCCACTTTAAATAATTGTTACGCGTCGGTCACTGTTGTAGCTGTTTAAATTTAATTTCGTAATTTCAATGTAGTGTAATTTTTAAATTTATTGTGGCCTGATTTGATATAAACCGGATTTCAGTTCGGTTGGAGCAACTCCACTGAGAAGCTCAGTGTTGTGATTGTTATTTAAGCTGCGGCGGCTGCGCATATGTACGGGATACGTATCACCTTCAAAGGTCACCGTCAAACAAATGCGAATGCTTAAGGCATAACTAACAGATCGAGTGCTCTGTGGAGTATCGAAACCCGTAAACAGGCACGGTTTTCCTACCCACCTACCGGCATCCACAAGAACTGTTGAATATCCAAACTCACTTTGGTTTTTATTTGTGAAATCGTACCTTTGTGATTTTTAAGAAGCATGGCGAAGGTCTTCTCTGTTGAACGACTATGGCGAGATCTTGCAGACGCGAGAAAACAGTAAACATAAGAATACAAAAAATTCTACGAAAAACAATCATTTTTTCTTAATGCTGGTGAGTTGGTCTAAATTTTCTCCCCGCCCTAGCCGTTATGGCTACGAAACTGCAATGATACAGAAACGTTCAGTGTCTTCAGAAAGCGGAACATTGCTGTTTAATACGCTGCATTGTACCGTTTGTTAACTCAATATCGACATCGAAGCAACCCACTCCCCGGTCAATATCGCTAATCATTACACTGCGTGTTATTCTTGGGGACAACCAGCAGCGTAATATTTTGCGCGATCCATTCGTGCAGGTAGTGGTGCGGCCGGAACCAGCACTGGTAGTCTCCGGCATCCGCCAGCGTGACGGCCCGAAAGAGGACGAAAGCGCGGGCCATCCGTCCGGGGCTGTTGAAGCGCCCGATGTAGTAGTTCGGTTCGACGGCACCCGGTCCTTGCAGGAGGGAGGGCGGGAACCCGTACGGCTTCTCCCAGGGAGCGTGGATAATGCGCCCCTGATGGACCCACATCAGGTGATTCCAGAAATTCCCGAGAATGCCTTCCGGGAGGGGCAGATACATGCTGCACTGCAGCGTCACCTCCGCGCCCTCGCTGACGGTCACCGAAGTTTCGTTCGTCGCGGCGAAGACCTCGCTGCGGCGCGTGACCAGCGGCAGCAGCAGGAAGCGCTGCAGGTACTCGCGTTCGGGCCGGCGGGCGGTGGGCGCGTACGGCGGGATGACGCAGTAGACGAGGCCGCCGGAGCGCAGGGTGACGTTGCGGACGACGAGGATGAGGGTGTCGTTGACGCGGGTGAAGTTGTAGGTCTGTCCCGTGGTGTCCCTCTCCCGCAGCGGTTGCGTGTGTCCATCGCGGAAGACGGTCCAGTGCTCGTGCAGCCAGGACACATCGTGCCAGTCAACGTCGGCGGGAACGCTGCAGTTGAACACCGCGTCCTCGCCCAGACGCGGTCGATACACCACGCTGCTCGCCAAGAATTTGCTCGGCGCCATTTGGGACAGCACGACGCGGTCGTCGTCGCGCTGCTGCAGCAGGGCCTCCGCCAACATGTCCTTCACTAAGGTAATCAATGAGTCAGTTGTCAATTTGGTACTTATTTCATTCGGAACACGTTCCTATATAAAAATCGGCATTCATAGTAGCTGTCTCTCGTTGCGTGCACAGCGTGAGATGACGCATGATTTCTGAAACCTCAATTTGTAGAGCTGAACAAATAAATTTCATAATTTCTAAAATTTGCTCAACAGGGTTTCGCTAAGGATGAAGCGTGTGCCATAGAGTAGTATAAGCTGTAAATTGTAGTTAAGAATCAAATTCAGAAGCAGAAGCTCTAAATTTATTTCACTTAGGTGGACACTCAAAGCAGGTCTCAATTAAAATTTAATCGCTAACTACAGAGTACTCTGTGCTCGTAGAAATCCGAAATAATCCTTTTTGTAGGAGAATGATTCGTCTTCGTTTTGATAACTCACTACGCAGCACTCACGGTTTACTGGCGCCGGCTTTGGTGCGAATGTAGGACATCCGGCAGTCAAGGGCAGAAGCAGCAGAAGGAGGAAACAACCACTGCCTGCTGGTTGCTTTTGCAGGGAGACGCTAAATGCTGTCCTCGGTCTGCACGCACACATCGTCCCTCGCTTGCAGCAGAATCGTGAAAAAATTATTACTTATCAGATTCTCAAGACCAAACTGCAGTGAAAAGAATATTCTTACTTACTACGAAAAGAAACTAACTTCTTCCCAGTAATATCAGACTATCAACATAACAAACTGTAAGCAAAGTGCAAAGTCAAACCCATCTGCATGTTTTGCTGGCTAAAGTTCGCAAACCCCTGGCGGGGCGAGCATAGCCATATGGGGTCCATGGAGCCGCCGCAAACGGAAACATTCTTGATATAGTCTGGTCGCTGTGCTTAAAATAAGATGGATGTTGGTGGATAATAAATAAGATAACTGTTATCTTATTTATTATCCACCGACAATCCAATAACATAAGACTTACGTTATCAGTGAATCTGTCCGACTCACAAGTCAGTGCGTAGGTTGTTCCGCACGTGAGCAGCTTAACAGCGCATTTCTGCAGCTTAACAACGCAGTACTACTGGTGACTGCGTTGTTAAGCTGCAAAAATGCCCGACTGCGGCTGTTGCACGAGACGGTGTCCATTCATTTCGGAAACCATACATTTCGGAAACCGTATATTTCGAAAGGCCCATAAATATCTACTTGAAACCAGTGTTGTTTTCTTATGTCTTCTATGTATTTCTTCTGCAATTTTATGTTGATGTTGTTTTTAGTCTTATGTTTTCTTTTAATTTATGATTGGTCATATTTTTTTGTAATGTTTTCGTTTTTATAATGGTACTAGTAGACCCCGCGCAAATTGCGCGGAGTAAATAATGCATTGGATAAATCACAACTCAGCGCAAAATTAAATCTCATAACTGCAGGTATGTAAATATATGTAAACTCATAACTGCAGGTTTCATGAACGAAGCGTAGCATTCTATATACACAAAATACACAATTATGTCCCTGCACACTGCACAGTTGATGTCACGTGATGATAATAACTACTGGAAAATTTGTCTGACTGTTTAATTGACTGCAGAATGGTCTAAAACCTGAAATGCAAAATTTTTAAAGTTATTTTTCTCCCAAAAACGGGTGACTTTTTTTGTTTCCGATCTGTTTATTTCCAGATCAGTCGCCATCAGTTAAATTTCGTGCAGCTGCTACATAGGGACCCTGTAATTTACAGTATTAAAACTTATTCTCCCCTCTTTTTCTTACCATTCTGAGCTTTTTCAACGTATCCGATAACAATTTACTTAAGCACTTTACATCCCAGATTGACCCCTAATGCACCACTGCACCTGCCCTTCAACAATCAGTACACTAACAGGTGATAAATTAAAACAGTAATAGTCACCTTTTTCACTATTACTTTGACCACAAAACAAACTTAAACCACTTTAATTAAATGAGGACAGAAGCATTTCGCTGTATTCCCTTCTCCGCTGATAGCTATTTCTAAAATCGAGGACTTGTGCAAAATTTCTTGCATATTTGCTGCATCGCGAGCGGAGCTCGCCTTCTGTGACAAACTAACGGAAGTTTTTAAATTTCCCAAACATTCTCTTGTTCTCAATAGTCGCTGGTCAGTAGTGAAGCATGCAGCTACCTTGCTCAAGGGATTTGGCCCGGTACATAGCACCAAATTCGTGTATCTGTGCGAAAACTTCCACTTTCGAGCACTCCCAAACCCATTTTTGCTTTGTTTTATGACATACTGCAGCCAGAGGATTTGTATACATTGGCGTGAAAACCGTTTGAGCGCGCAACACCTGGTTCGGGAGTTATGGCTGTATGAAAATTCCAAAAGTTTAAATGCATCCAGGTCTTTCAAAAGTCTCGTTAGCAACCGATCTTCTTCAAATTCTGCATGTAAACGCACATATGCATGAATATGGTTTTTACACGGAGGCACAGTTCTGGCACTGTTTTCACATTTTAAAATGAACTTAAAATTCACGAATTTAGTACTATGTACCGGGCCAAATACTTTAACTGCAATTCTCGTCTGATGACTGCCAAGCAGTCGCTAAAATGTGCAGCTGCCAGCTTGCTGCCCTTTAAATCAGCCCCAGACACGCAATTCCGCCCTTCTGGAACATAATTGTCCACAGAAAAAAAATTAAAAGTTTTTTTTTAAATGCGTCTGTAAATTTTTAACTTCAACAGCAAATCAGTACCAATGGCAACCACCCGTGGAAGCGTGGCTACTATAAACGGGTTAAACCACCGCAAACGACAGTTCCTTGAAAAAAGTTTTGAGCAGTTGCACGGCGGCTTCATACTCGAAGACTTTATAGGTCTTTTTTCTCAGTTCTTCTTTTTTCTTGAAGCTAACTATCCATGAAAAATTTATAAATTTATTCAAGACTATGGAATAATACATAGTCATGATTCAAAAACTTCAACGTTTTCCGCAGTCCTAGCAAAATTGGCCAACGCGTGAGGGCTATCGAAACAGTGGTGGTCGGTTTGGCAGTGGTGGATTCTTGACTTTTCCCATTAGCTTTCTATGTTAATGTTTTCTGAAGTTTTTTTTCAAATGTTTGATTTTCTTTAAAAACTGGCTTTTGCTGGCAAATCTGTACGTTAAGGGCTATCAAACGACCTATCGACGTCGGAGTTTGGTTGAGAGCAGCGCTAACGCATCGATGACACACACCGAATTTCGTTAAGGCTTATCCTTTTATTTATATAGATTTTCAAATTTCTTTTGTAATTTAATATTTTCTTAGGATTTCTCTGACTTTCTTAGTCTTATTTTTAACGAGTTGATAAGTGCTCATGAATGCAGGCATGAATTATAAAACCGAGCTAAAAAGCTAGGTTTTAGAACTCACCAACGTATTACCTATCTTACCAATGCGCGCGGCGTTATCACTGAATCTGTCCGACTCACAAATCAGTGTGTGAATTGTTGCGCACTTGAGCGTTTTGACCAGGACACAATCCGCATCTCCGAATCCCAGTACGTGGTTAAAAATGCAATAAATTCGGTAAAAAAAAAGAAAACACATAGAGAAAAGCGGATGTTCGTCGGCCAGGTGCGTCGCGACCGTAATCCCTGTTCCCTTGGGTGTCCATTTCAGATGTCTTCACTTTATAGATCCTGGAGGTGGCAGCTGCCGATCAGGGCAAAATTAAAGGCACATTTTCTTCGGGTCCAAATGTGTTTTGTCTCAAAATAAATTTCAAAATCGGTTTTATTGCGACATTCTATTTCTAGAAGGTGCAATTCAATCTATTTTGAGATTTGACTTCTTGGAGCAAAATTTGATCTGTAGATATGGACGACTTTGTACATGGTAAATTTTTCCGAGGCATGTGTGTTTGCTAGTATCCCCAGTATCCCGCTGTATCTAACCGTATCCTCTACTTATGCCTAACGTATCCTTACAGTTTTTCCCATGTTTTTCCTTGTTGCCGTATCCCACCTTATCTCTGCAGTATCCTTTACGTGTCCCAAGCGAAACTCGCTAAAAACCTAAGAAATCTAAAGAGAACCTAAGAGATCTAAGAAAACCTAACAAATTAACGGGGTACACAAAGGATACATGGAGGATACGCAAAGGATATTGTGAAGATACTGTGGGATGCGGTAGCTAAAAAGATAACCACATTAACAATATTTATATTTGCAATACGTGAATTATAGTGGTTTTTGAATGCGTATCACCTTGGAAAACCACAGTATCCTACCGTATCCCACAGTATCTTCGACCGAAGCGTAGCGGAGGTCCTCTATGTTCAGCGTTTATGAAAAAAGTGGTGTCCGTCGGTCACCGCCACCTAATGCACATATGCGCGGGTTCACTATCAAACGCACATATGCGCGCTGGCCGTATATACTCAAGCCGCAAGCAAACTATGGTGTCCGTCGGTCACCGCCACCTAATGCACATATTCTCGGGTTCGCTATCAAACGCACATATGCGCGCTGGCCGTATATACTCCAGCCGCAAGCAAACTATGGTGTCCGTCGGTCACCGCCACCTAATGCACATATTCTCGGGTTCGCTATCAAACGCACATATGCGCGCTGGCCGTATATACTCCAGCCGCAAGCAAACTACGGTGTCCGTCGGTCACCGCCTCCCAATGCACATATGCGCGGGTTCACTATCAAACCCACATATGTGCGCTGGCCGTATATACTCCAGCCGCAAGCAAACTGTGGTGTCCGTCGGTCACTGCCTCCCATTGCACATATGCGCGGGTTCACTATCAAACGCACATATGTGCGCAGGCCGTATATACTCAAGCCGCAAGCAAACTATGGTGTCCGTCGGTCACCACCACCTAAGGCACACATACATGGTCCCCCTATTATCAGATACATACAGAGATGCGCGCTGTCCGAACATGTCCAGGCCGCATCTAAATGTGTCTTTATTGGTCACCATCTCTTTTGATAAAATGTCCAGTGGTACGGTAGCCATATACAAGTGCTGCGCTGCTTAATTAAGTTTTCAGGGATATATTTCTTTGGTACCTCAATTTTGGCATTTCGCGTCACGATCTCAATCTTACGATCTAGCAGATAAGATTATATTGCGTTGCCCGAAAGTACGGAAAAAGTCACAGCTGCTCGATGTGACAAGCGCAATACCGGCATGGTTATCTGCGTCCTTACCTGACAGCAACTTCATGGGGTGGCTACAGTAGTCATTATTCTAAAGTGCAAGGATTTCCAAAACCATATTTTACCACCAGTCCGAGTTGCGACAAAAAAATTTTGATATTATGCCGGGAAAGTTATTAACTTCAATAGGGAGCAAGTAAAAAAATTAGGCTCGTGCACAGATACAAAGTTATTCGATTCAAATTTTGTACTGACATGCTGCGTAATATGTTCATGGGACAAATCGCCACAAGGAGGGTCATCCCGTTCCGCTTGAAGTCTTCTCAGTGTGCGAACTCTAGATATAGCAGTACAACACTGACCGGTTTCCCAGCATGGTTGGCGCAGGTCAACTATCGCGTTTTCCAGTGTTTGCCCTTGAAATTTATGAATTGTTAGACCATAGGCAAGCTGTAGCGGAAATTGTTCACGATAACCTAGTGTCGTGGATTTAAAAATACGATAGGAATTCTCGAATCTCGGAACTGACAGAATTCTTCCAGTTAATACCGATTTAATGGTGATTATCCGCTTAGAAAACTCGACGACAGTGGCCAATGTACCATTATGCCAACCGCCTGGTACGTCGATATTCCGCAAAAGCATTACCATCACACCTTTTTTGACCTTTAGTTGATCTGGCAATCGGTCATGACACCATTTTTTTGTACG